GCTAAATACTCTCCAGTAATGCCTATTTTTTTTAAGCTTTTACTAGAAAAACCTTGAGACAAACCAAGTTACCAGCTAATGTCACTGTCATTTTCTGCGCTCCTTAACCCTAACCTGTCCCATCCTGAGCAGATGGCATCTTTTCTCGATTGATTAAACATCACATTTTACCAGCTTCCCGGGCAAAGGCCTTCAAGACCCTTTTTTCCCAACGAGGAAGGAAAAAATACAGCATCCTTGTGTGGCTATTCAAGGGTTTTGAGTCAAAGTTTCCAGTGGGAAGCGCCCACTGTGCTATCACGTGGCTGGTGCATGTTCCAAGCGGTGCCCCAGCTCCGCTGGGAGCAGGGTCAGGCTCTTGGGCTGCTCCAGCATTTTTTCCCACATGTTCAGCCCGTGCATGAGTCCTGCCCGAGCCCGTAACACTTTGCTGAGAACGCCTTTGACAGAGGGAGTGAGCTGATCTACCGACACAGGGCTGTCCCGGCAGATAAAATAAATATTTAGCTTGAAAACATCTAACAGTTTTCAAAGAGCCCAGGATGGCCCAAGCGTGTTTAGACTGTGTGCATAGCAAAGGGTGCTGATGGCTTTAATCATCCTCCTCTGTACTCAGCGCTTTTATCTGGAGATCTTCACAGTCCTCCGCAGAGAGGTTTGTCTTGTTCAGCTCCGCATAACAGATAAGGAAATGGAGGCACACCCGGCCAGGGCTGGATTTGGGGTGTTTGGGGTGCCACATTTCGAGCACTTTGTGTTACCTCTCCAAGGCCAATGCTTCTCCGACGAGATGCTGTGAGAAGTGACAAGGCACCAGCGGGTCTCTCATTCATGTTTTTCTGCTGCTGCTGGTGGTGGTGGCCACTGTGGCTGGTGCCACTTGCGCCCATGTCTCAGCAACAATCCCCATATCCCACTGTGCCACTTGCCCCTGGCTGCAGCCAGGAGATGGGTTTGCAAAACTGCTTGGAATTGCAGATGAAGAGCAACGCTGATTTTCTGTTTTGGTGCTTTGCATTTATGGAGTAGCATCTCTTCTCTCCAGCAGGCTCAACTTTATTTATTTAGTATTCCTTTTCACAGATGCTTTAATATAAAGCAATTAGTCCTGAGGGTAGCATCAAGCCAAGAACAAATTAGGTTGTAACACAACGTCTCCTCTGCCTGGGTGTTCTGGTTTTTGGGAGCCCAACAGGAGGGGCTTCTGCCTGAGCTCAGCAGCCAAGAGGGTCATGAGAGTTTGCAGTGGTCTGGGGCTGTGGGCAGGATGAGGTCTAGGGAGCGCTGCCCAGAGCATGCTGCTGCTGGAGAAAGATGTCAAAGGGAAGCCTGCTCTAATCCCGGTATCTCCTCAGCTCTCCCCATGGCTGAAGAGGAACCGGCTGAGTCCTAATCCAAGAAATGAGGCATGGTTTTCTCTGGAAGCTGTGTGGGCTTTAAAGAGAGTCTGATCCAGGGCCTTTAAACTTCATTTTTTAAAAAAAATTCCTTTTGAATTAACATTATTTTTTTTCTCAATTCAAACGCATATTTCCCCTGCCACACTTCTCCCATACAACATTCTTTTGAATCAGATTTTTCCAGGAATTTCAACTGAAAAAGGTCTGCAGCTTCAGAAACATTCAGCCCAGCTGATACAGCCCGACAGAGAAAATGTGGATACACTGATGGGCCATCCTCAAATGGAGGCTCTCTGGGCAGGAGCTGGCCACAGATGAGTGAAGGAGGCATCCCTGAGCATCCCTGGACACAGCACTGGGGTGGTCTACCCAGTGGTGGTTTACAGATCACTCTGCTATTCCCTATTTCCCCATTTAGTCAGAAAAATAATCTCTTCAGAGGATGACAAGTGTAAACCCAGCTTTTGGTATCAGAAAGCAAGGTACACCTTTGTATCCTAGGAATCTCATCATGCCTGGCTTTGCCAGCCCCATCTGTCTTCCAACCTCATGGGGAGATAAGTGTGTCCAAAGGACTTGGGTCACATCCCAGGCTGGGCTAAGAGACACCTGAATGCATCACTTTTTCAGAAACCAAAATAATTTTTCAGGCTTTGGGTTCCTAAGGCCACCAGCTTTCCAAGAAATTTCAAATCCTATAAAATTCACCCAAATCCCATAATTGCTCATGGAAACAAAGGCTGGACTGATTACGTTGTGCTAAAAGGTTGGCAGGCTTCCAGCTTTATGAAATGCAGCTCTGCAGAAAGAAAAATCTTTTGTGGGCGAAATCATGTACCAACGGTTTGGGAAAAACAAGTGAAAATAAGGCATTTAAGGGAAGAAAAAAAAAAGCCTTTAAAAATAGTCTTGAGGATATCTTTATCCTCAAATCTGGAAGAGGAAGGTTCACACTTACTTTTCATCTGCTTTCCTCCATGCTTGCTGAAAGAAAAAGGGGCAGGTGGATTATTTTTAGGTTCCTGTTCCTGCTGCAGACGCAAGAAAAGCCATTTTTCCAAAGCTGGCTGAAGCTCTGTGTGTTGGGGCAGCTGTGGAAACCTCTGTCTGGCCTCAGCTATGAGGAAATAGGGCTTGGCGAGGGTCTTGGGGACCAGGAGATTATTTGTGGGTGGTCAGATGAGGGTTGAGGTAGCTCAGCCTTGTCATTTCAGGGCAGTTACCAAGAGCTTTCTCACAGGGAGGTCTGCAAAGATTGACTGGTGCTGCTGCAGCACCTCATCACCACTCAAAAAAAGGCCTTTGAGTCTCTCCTCACAGCTCACGTTGGAGTGCTGAGAGCAGCACCCACCCCTGTGCCACACACATCAAGGTGACCAGGGGAAAGGAGCTCACACTCCTCGGCTGAGCTGCTCCTCAGCTCCCGGGGGGCATGGATGGCCAGGGAGGCATCTCACTCCTTGATGCCATTGCTCTTCTCCAAAGCCTTTATAGTCTCCTGAGAATGCGAGGACCAGAACTGCACAAAGCCCTGAAGATGTGGGTGCCACAGCACCTTTAGAGAGGCAGGAGGGTGTTCTAAATTTTACTTCTCTCCAACCATTCATTCCTGATATATGGTTTGCCTCTACTGCTGCCAGATGTGGAAATATTTGGGTGAGAGTGGTTACCAGAGCCCCCAGCCCTTGTGCCCAAGTGGCAGGGGCCAGAAAAGAGCACATCACTTGAAAGGTGAAGCACAGCATCCTTTGGTACATACCTACAATGACTTCCCCACTTTCATAAGAGCTTTTTGCAATATCCCAGTCTACCTTCTCCTTTGGCATCCTAAATAACTGTCCATCATCAAACAATCCTTTAGTTTTTAATGACCACCTTATCCAGCCCCTGACTAATGACACATGGCACCAACAGCCTTCCTTCCTGGAGAAACACCCCCTCTGCCTCCCAGCTTTAATTGTCTGTCAGAGGACTTTGACTTTTATGACAGCTTTTGTGCCTCTGTAGAAGTCAGTGGCAATATAAAAGAGTTCACCCTTACCAATGTGCTTTTTGACTCCTTCAGAGAACTCAAAGAGGTTTATGAGACACGACTTCCCTCTACAGAAGCCCTGTTGACTCTCCTCAGATAATTAATTGCATTCTGTGGTATAGTTTCTAGTCATTTGGCCAGCACAGACATAAGGTACAGACACCAAGAAACCTCCTGAAGGCTTTCTTTAATGTCCTGTGGAAAGTCTGCCCTGGTCCAGGAGCTGTTTGCAATGCTCTTGCTTGGGAGGATGCAAAACCCTCCAGGGCTCCCCGTGCATTAACTGCTGCACAACCTCACACCAGCTACTCACCTTGCCTGGACCCCTTAATCCACATGCCAGTGGATTTAATACCACTGTATTAAAGAAGGCAGCTTAAGGAGAGGCTGCTGGGAATTTACTAGCTGGGCTCTTGGGAAGCAGAGCTTATAAAATAGAAACTTAATGAACAGGGTGCTGGGCAGAGGAGTTTAAATCATACATAGGAATCTGCATCCTCCTGTAAGGCTGACAAAGGCGTTTTCAGTGGAAGCAGCTCCATCCAAGAGCATCCCAGCAAGGGATCAGAGTCACCGTGGAATCCCGGGCATGAGTGAGGTGGGAGCCAGGACAGCTGCTTTAGATGATCTGCAGAGTTAGTGGCACAGTGGCAGAATTAGCTGATTTATTAGAAAATAAAACAACATGCCAGAACGATGAGAGGAATTGCATTACACTGCTTTTGGTTTTTGCTAAATGTAAACAATAACACACATTATTTTAGAATTTAGCTTTGCAATAGTATTGCAAGATATTCAGTATCTGAAAGCACCTGCCATGTAGAAACACTTTCCAGACACCTGTGAGGCACCACCAACTCTCGATTAGGCACAGGAAATAGAGGCAGTGGTCCAACAATTCAGTCAACCCACTTGCAGGCTTCTTAATACCAACTAAGAAGTAGTGAAACCACATGAGAAAGGCACTGATCCAGGATGAACTCGCTCTACCGGTTCAAATATTATTTTTTTTTCTTAAACAGGCTTCCTTTGAAGCAGCAGGCTTCACCCCAGATCAGGTACCATCTCATCTGTACATCTAACCTCCTTCCAGAGTGGCCACAAACCATCCTCCAGCAGGAGACAGCCAGCCAGCACAAGCTCAGGGAAAGGCAACTCATTTGTGTCAGAAGTCTTCAGTCACTCCTCCTGCTCCCTTGTCTATCAAACATCAGAGCTGACACTGTAAAGGTAGATATCAAGCTGTAGTATCTGTTTCTGTCATGCTGAAGAGAAGCAGGAAAGGAAGCAGTCGCTGCCTGCAGGAGATCTGCTCACAGCACCAGGACTTGTGGATACTGAGGCCCTCCCACTGGCAGCTCTCCTTGCTCTGGCAGGAGCAGAGAGCTGCAGCTCAGGCATCACAGAGGTGCACAGGGCTGCTCAGCTAAAGGACCTTTCCCTGCACTTTTCCAGAGTAAAAGCTGCGAGTAGCTCATCCGAGAGAACGTGGGAGCAAAACAGGTCTGCAGACACAATCTACCTGCCTTTGGGATGGAGAATAAGAGGGAAAAGCACAAGGCAATTGATACTGGAAGGAACGGCCAGCAGATGCCCAATTCTTTTTTCTCCCTTTCAAGTATCTGCCACAACATGCCAGAGGTCTCAGGCCACTGTGCCTGACGGGTCTGTGGTTCCTGATGCTTCCAGTGGTCTCTTATAGTGTCTCCACGTGACTAGTCCCAGCCGAACAGCAAAGATCAGGGAAGTCCCTGCCAGCAGAACAACTAGAAACAAACCAGAATGAAACAAAAGCATGTTAGAGCATAAGAGAAAGACACGACCCCTCTTGTCATACCCCAGCTCTCAGTACTGGGGGAATTCAGGGAAAGAGAAAAAAACCCCAATCCCCTGTGTAGGATCCATTGCCCCCAGAGTTGTATTTCTCAGAGTTTCACTACTATACAGCCAAATTTACCCAATGTTTCCAGGTCAAGGCACGGCTAAAAAGGGGGAGGCTTCATGGACACAGGAATTAAAGGGCATTACATCAACAAAACACTCCAAGAATAGTTGAACTATATAAAGAAACATGTACAACTTTGGGAAAAGCACATTCTTGTCCTACCAGCCAAACGAGCTCAACCACTAAGATTTAAGTTTTGCTGGTAGAAATGCACCTACTACAGGAACACAGGAGACAAGCCTCCCGTGCCCCCATACCTGTGGCAGACAAGCTTTTCCAAGTCCTGCTTGGTGCTTTTAGACATGACCAGAACTCCACCTGCACTGCAAAGGGAACATGTACTGGAATGGTTACAATGGTGGTACCAGTCCAGAAATTAGCTTTAGCCACTGGTATGTGGCAGTGGGAAGGCTGAAGGGTGGGAACATGCTCCCTTCTGCTGACCCCACAGTGGGAATAGGCATCTCAGACTGCTACAGCAGGATTCAGAGTTCACACAGCTCAGTCCATCTCATGCCAGCATAAAACTGCTCATAATGGTATAGCTCCTGCCAGACTGTGATTGTACAGAATTTGGACAGCTTAAGCCCTTTTACAATGGATGACTACACTCAGCTCTGGTACAGTGTCTGGCAGCTGCCAAATAATCCCAGGAAAACTTGTTAAGGCCGGCCTGAGCTCTGCATAGGAGAGGAGCATGTGCAGGGTTTTGCATTATGAAGCCCTCCGTGGATCAGAAGCTTATGCACTGCTCCCATATCCCAAACAATATAGGGAAAATGGGAAGTCCACAGCCTTCATCCCAGCCCTGCTTTTCCCTTGGCCCACCCTGTGTCAGATGGACTAGCAGAGGACCCAAGTGGGTGATGGAGGATTGTGGGGCAAACACATAGAGCTCAGAAGTGAACTTGAGACAACACAAGGTTTGCATTCAGCCCCAAGGTTCATGGGCACTGATTTCTGCTCTACTCTTTACTTAGCAGAATAAATACCTCCAAATACATCCCTGTTTCTGCTTTTAATAAGTAGCACTTTTCAAGTGGCAAGCTTTCTGCCCCTAATACGCAGTTAGAATGTGGAATTGTTTACTGCCCTTCTTTTGCAGGAGGTGGAAACAGTCCAAAAGATTCACCTATGAAAATGTTGTTGGTCATTGGGGATGAAAACGAGCTGTTCTTGCATGCGCTGCCAATCAGAGCTGTTATGACCACTGGGTAGATTGTGAGGTTATAGCGGACATACTTATCAAGAGAGAAGTTTTCTAGGTAAAACCTGTGAAGAAAAAGAGTGACCAAAGTAAGCATTTTCTCCACTTTTTTTTTTTTTTTTTTTTTTACATTCTCTAAGAAAGGAATTAGACAAAGAATGGGGGTTTTGTGGGCTACTTTGGACCGTAGTCCAAAATTTTTTTATTTACTAAAATTCAGAAGATTCATAAGTCAATTATTTAAGGTAGGTTTAGGGGAAAATAGAGCCATGTTTCATATGTTTTCCATATCACACCCTCGTCTGTACACCTGAGGCAGGCTGGGCTCATGCAAGTCACAAAACCCTGTTCCTGGCCCACAACATGTGCTTATTGGCATTCCTGAGGGTCAGGGAAGAAACGCTCTGCCCAGTGTCCCAGTTCATCTGCCACGGATTATAACAGAGGTCTTTGTGCTCAGTATCAGGACAGGGACAAACTACAAACAAACAGGGACAGACAGACACCATTTGTGAGAGGTGGAAGGGGTCTTTGAGGCTTGGTGGGAACCCATGAGGGCACTTACCATATCACCAGGCAGAGAGTAAGGATGCTGAGAGAAGCAGTGGTTGCTTTCTCGTGGGACACGTTCCCCTGGTAGATCAGCACAACGGCGAAGTTCAGCAGCGTGGCGATGGTGGTCCACGTTCCGTACAGTGCCAGCCCGTTCTGGACCTGCCACACAGCACAGCAAGGGGACAAGCAGTGATAAATGGGGTAATCTCTGCCTTCTGTGACCCAGAGGCCCTGGGGCAGTTAAGCCAGACTTCTGGACCCAGCTGCAGGAAAAGTCCCTCAGGATGGAGAGGCATAGAAGCCTTGGAGTCCCCAAAGAAGTCCAGGGATCCACCCCAGCAGTGTGTTGTACAGGTGCTGCAGGGAAGATCAGTACAGGGGTGTAAAGAACAGAGCCCACTCCCAGTTTGTGTTAAAAGATGCAGGCACATTTCCAGAAGGGTTGGTAGGAACTTTTCCGTGCAGAACTCCCCCTTTCTTCTTGGGTGGTTTCTTACTGCTGACCCACTTTCTCACTGAGCAACCCCAACTTTAAGTAAGGAATCAAAGGTGGTTAAAGCACACACAGGCAGCCATGGGAGTGCAATGTGAGATGTCCTGGATAGAAGAAGAAGGTATCAAGGTAGGAGGTTTGAGCTAGGAGAGAGGAAAAGGACTGATGGAGTATGAGCGTGTTTATCTTTTTTTCTCTGTGAGGTTTGCCAAACAACCCCTCTTCTCAGGGACAGCAGAAAAGCAACTCCTTCCAGAATTTCACAAAACTCAGAAAGACAGCTGCATTTGAATCCTTGAGCACTGTACACTTCCCCATATAAGAAATATATAATTTTTTGAGGTCAAATGTCAGGAACATCATGATCAGCTACAGCATCAGAAGCCACCCTTAGCAATGGCTTCTCCCCCTGCAAGAAATATTCTCCCCACCCCAGATGCAAGTTTGGGCTGAAGTTTTCCCACTCCACTGAAAACTTCACTCTGCAGCAGCTGGAGAAGTACCTTGCTCTGAATCATTCCCATGGTGTCCGATAGGAAGCAGATGCAATTAAGCCTGTGTGCACCTGCAGCAAGCACAAGTCAAAGTCAGGGCAGAACTCTTTCCTTACCTGTGTCCTGCCATTGAATCTTTCACTCTTGATACCTCCAACACTGCACAGAGGGGGACATTTTTTAGCATTTACCCACAGCACAGCTTCCCAAATGCTACCTACCAGAATGCGGATGAGCCAGAGCTCAGCTTTGTGACCCTTCACAAACCACGAGGAATAGATGCTCAAGGCTCGGTGTGAAATGAAGAGGGAGGCACACGTGGTAAGAGTGAGGACTACCAGGAACACCAGGGCTGGAAGGAGGTATCTAGGACAAAGGACATGCACACACAATAGACAGTACGTTTTTTTCAGTGGTGTCACAATGCTTTAATTCATAGCTTTAGTGTTTGGCCTTTCCTGAATTTAAGTTGATCAGCCTTTAATAAAGGTAATCACTACATGTAGCCCACATTTTGACATTCTGCTGTTGCTGTTTTACTCTGTTAATCATGAAGTTATTTTCCTAACTGCAACTAATTTCTTCACCTCTTGACAGTGGTGCTTTTATAAGCCCTTAATGTGGCCATGATTATGAAAACAATCCAAGGCAGGGAGCGTTTATGAAGAGAGGCATGGCTCCTGTCTTACCTGTGGAGGTAAAAACATAGAAGAGCAGCAGCTTTGAGGAGATCTTAGACTTCAATGACCAAGCTAGCTCATGGGCAAGATGACAACATCATGCAAAAACTCCAGACTTCTATGAAGGCTGTGTTTTGCCAAGGCCTGCCATAGGGTTTTACAGGTGTGATTAAGTGTTCATACATAGAGGAAAAGGCAAAATGAAGTACTGGGGCATTCTGAACGAGTGCTAGAAAGCAAAAGGCAACTTACTCTCGGTCCCACAGAAAGAGCCATCCAACATTGAGGCCATTATTCAGACACCATGCCACATAAAAAGGTATTGGCAGCAAGTCTGGCTTTATGAAGACACGTCCAAGTTCATTCCTGCCAGAAAAAATTGGGCATGGAGAAAGGAAAACAATGCCTGCATTGACCAACCAAACTTTCCTGGCCTCATTTTCCTTATACTACCAGGGACTCTACACTGGAGTTAAATATTCCAGTTAAATCAGACTATTTCTCCTGTGCATCCTTCTCTGACACAACACAGTCCCTGTGGCTTTCCCCATCTGGATACTGTCCCACAGTACAGAACTTCTTGCTGGTCTCTGCACCATCACAGGTACAGTGGATACTAAGGACTGCTCCACAGATGCTGTAAAGCTTGTGCCACTGCTGGTGGCAGCAATGGCACGGTCATGGAATTTTAGCCCAGTTCCTGGGGCTTTTGGGATCACTGTGTGAGTATGTGAGTATGTATTTTGTGTGTGCTCATACAGGTGTATGGACTGATTGGTAATTCTGTACAAACACACACTTCATTCTTCCCTCAACATTTAGTGTTGCTCATCACCAACTGAGAGATTTCTTACAAACCATGGAAAAATAGCAGATACACAACTCCAACTAAGCAGTCCGTGGTCCCCTTGACAGGAGAGGTACAGTGTAAGTCTGCCCCACAGAAGACATCCTGGAATACTACAGATACTGCAAGGAACTGCATGAGGCAGTTACTGACCTCATAGCCCCAGAAAAAGCTTGAAGTCCAGTTCAACAAGCCAAGAGACTCCCCAGTGGTGATTCTCTGATGTCTAACAGCAAGTAAACTCAGAGCATTAGATCCATAATCCATTAATTTTGCCCCTGTGGATTGTCAGCATCTAGCAGTGGGTGAGTGCAGGTAAAACTGTCAAATCCCACGAGTTAGTGGAAATGAGGCCTCACAGAGCAGTTTACACACTGATACCTGTTCACATGTTAGAGCAGTTCATGTACACCTCCAAACTGCTTCCCAGCTTTGGATGCTCAACCTAAGAGGTGCTCCAGCAGCAGTCCTTCTGCATGCCAAGTCAAGATAAATGGCAATGGGTTTACTCTTACTAGAAACCCCAGAAAAGGGGCTAAGACTCTGAGCTACTACAGAAAGGAAGAGTCACTGTCCCTTCTCATCTATACCATAAACAGTAAATAGGGAAAATACCTTCGACAGATCCCTGACAAGGCGTAGAGAAGCCAGGCGAGCTGCCAGGCATAGATGACATTCCAGATGAGGAAAGTCCAGCCAGCTGGTGTGAAATCAGTGCTGTACTTGTCTGAGATGTTTCCAGGGGTTGTCCTGAATAGACCTGTGGTGGTGAATGTTATTGCAGGCAAAACTGTTACTACATCCTAAGGATGGGGAAAGACTGCTGATTTCCCTCACCCTTCAATCTTCCTCCAGATTTCATCCACACCCCAATGGGTTTGGGGATGATGAAAGCACACCCTTGGTGTAAACAAGCCACATGCTGCAGTTGGCTTCCCTTTAGACACCCATTATGGGATCACTGTCCCTATGGGGAACCCCGAGCACCTTCCCTCTTATACAGAACCAGAGGAGCCAGCTATGTGTGAAATCCAGAGAAAAGCACAATGTCAGTTGCTGGCAGATTCAGCTGGGTAGTGCTCAAACACGACACCACTGCCCTCTATAAACACCACTGCCCTCTATAAACCCACAGTAGCAGCCTGAACATCTCCCAGCAGGGACACAAGGGAAATGTCTGCAAAGACATTGTACCACTAGATCAAGGTTCACCAGGGACGAGACCATTTCCTTGGACTTTAAGGGACTAGATAGGGCTCAGGCATCTGGCTGTAACACCTGGAGGATGCACCAGCTACTTCCACCTTTCACAGAACAAGGTGTATTTGGACAGTTGATGAGCTAACAAACAGATCTATCCCATCCTTATATCATCAAACTGTAGAATGCATGAAATCCACCTCTGAACAAAGACAATTTGCTTGTGTTACCTTTGAATATCCCAGTGGCATTTCCAGCGTTCATTATCACCATGACCGTGAAAGTAGCCAGAGACAGAAACATCACCAAAACCTTCAACTTGTGTACAGCATCCATCTTACCCTGCAACATGTTAGAGATATTGTTTGACTACCCCAGAGGATGCCTGGATTTGTTCCTGTTCTGTAAAACAGAAACTGTTTTAGAAATAATGTTGTAAATTTCCAAATTGTGACTGCTGACTTTTTTTCATGGTGTTTTCATTAGAACTAAAAAGGCCTTGCATGGGCTGGGAGCACCTGTGTTTGAGGAGACCTCACTAGGTGGTAGAATGGAAATGGGAAGCCATTGGCTGTCCAGTGAGCAGCCTGCTCCATCCCTCCATGCCTCCATCCCTTACTGGCACAGAGCAAGAGCCATAGCTTAGGTTTGCCTAAATCAAAGGTTTTAAGGCCTAGATACTCAGCCAGCAAAAGAGTGATCCCAGCTTATTTACATCACTATTGCAGTTTTACTGAAGCAAACAGGCCTATCAGTTTTACCCACTCTAGGAAGCAAATATGAAAATATTGAAGTCTTGGCCTTGCAGCCAAGTGCCTTTTAGTTCAATATAACTTTTCACATTTACCTCTCTAATCCCATAACTCCTACAAATTAACTTCCTTTCATGGTGGTATTACCTCCTCATCTACTGGCTGCCAATAAGATTTAAATGCTTTAGGAGGTCTCAAGAACTTTATAGACTGTAAAATCTACATACTACGTTTTTTCAAGGTTAGTAAGTAGTGACTTGAGCTTTCCCAAGTGCTTTCCATTAGTCCAGAATTTGTTCTATCACAGCAGAGTTCTGTGCCACCTCTAAGAGTAAGCATACATACATCCAAACTATAGGCAACAGCCTTTATTTCTCCTCACAGCTCAGCACTTGAGCTGCCTTCTCTGTACAATGCCACTCTAATGCCTTCCAGGGCTGGCAGGAATAACAACTGGAGTCGTTCCAGGTTGCTCAGTCTTGAACTAATAAATTTCAGTTCCCACAAAAGTGGATGGTTTTATAGTTCCGGGCTTTGTTCATTGACTGAGCTGCATCCAGACACATCACAAGGAAGTGGGAAGGGAATTCCTGTTTTCTGTAAATCCATACATGCTTTGCCCTTTTCAGTTCTCTCTAAGTGGAAAACCCACCCTTTTTTTAAAATAAAAATTAAAATCCTATGTGGGAGAACTCATTTAACTCAAGATATCAAATCCCAGTTAGATTTATGTCAGTCAAATCACAAAACAACACACTGTCTTCAACAGATACAGTGGATTAGCAACTTCTGAAAAGAAAAATCCACTTGTACTATTAGAGATATCTTTTCTGGCTCAGGAAATAATTGACATGCAGATTTCTGAAAGCCATGAAAACATAGGAGAAAAATATCACTGTACACTTGTCAATGATCAAGGAAAGAATATAAGAACAGGACATTTGGCCACTCCAAACCAATATATGGGACAAGATGGTCCTTTAATCTCACTGTCAGTCCAAATCTCTGTCCTCTTGCAGTCCTGTAATTGTCTTCAGCACCTCATTTCTTTTTCATTAGCTTATTTGGAAGAACCTTGATTGCACATCTTCAGAGAAACCCATGCTTGCTTACAGAAGTCTAGGAGGAAAGCTTTATTATACCCATCAATAGTTTCACCAGTCTCTCACCTCCTGCCTCCTTCTAACTTACTGTTTGCAATAAACATCTGCAATATGTCTCTGCCTGCAGTTTCCAGTCACAAACACCCTTTAGAACAATCAGAAATATTACTCACGGGGATCCACACAGGATTTTTGGCAGTGTTTTACAGCTGTAGTTCAGCTACAAGCAGCGCTGGGGAGTCTCCGCCGCCTAATCTTATCTAAAGAGATTTTATACAACTTTCAGCAGATTAATAATCTTGTATTATTAGCAAAGAAAGTATCACAGTAGTTAGACATACTTTCTGTCTGTGAGCTGCTGCAGCCTCCAATTGGCTAAAGCCTCCCAAAAACAAGCACTTATGCAAGAGAGATGTGATTACTTAACCAAAGCCTTTTATAACAGCCAGACATTGCATATAACACTGCATGATCCCAAAGTTGTTGGCAGACAGAAGCTAATGAGTGCGTGCTCTGGGCTCTTGCCTGCTTTGTCCTTCCCCATTTCTGCCAGGAGGGGGGAAACTGAGCACTTAATGCGAAATATTGTATCTCAGAATCAGCACTCCGGAGTGGGAGAGGGGATGCTGGCAGAGGGTGCTGGAGAAACAGCCTGGATTTGGGGTTTGGGAAAGATGGAGATCATAACATGGTTTGCATTTGAAGGGACATTAGGAATCATTTAGCTCCAACCTCCCTGCCGTAGGCAGGGACACCTTCTACTCAGACCAGTTTGCTCAAAGCCCCATCCAACCTGGCCCTAACACTTCCAGGGATGAACGCCCAGATGTAACACACAGAACCACAGAAAAGTTTAGCTGAAAAAGACCTCTAAGATCCAGTCTAACCATTAACAACACAGCAAGGTCTGGATCCTGTGAGCAGCTACAGATCTTCCTGTAGCAACAGATGGAGATTGGTTCACAGGTAAATTTTTGTTTTTAGATATGGAAAAGGCTCCCGCCCCCCCCTCCACCAGTGCAAGCCCATCCCATGGAAGCAGTGGAAGCCATGCTACCTGATCAGTCTCCACCCGCACCTCTGTCTGCTACAGAACCACAGGCTCACCACATCCATCCCTTTCATTTTATATTTCTGATTGTTTCCTCTCAAATTAAAACTTTTATACCCAATTTAAAATATTCTTCAGCATCGAAATGTTATTTACCTTGTGCAGCTACAGTGCCTACCAAGCAGACAGTCTTGCTGGGATCTGCCCCATCTCAAATATAAAGGCAGTGTTTAACTGGCACTTATCCTCACCCATTGGAAACAACATCATAGGACTGGGAATTAACCCAGCTGGAGCTTCCTTGGCCATTCAGATAGGTGTGCAAAGCCTGTGTGAACATGGATTATCCAGCAGTGGGAACTGCAGGGCATCCAGCCAGCACTGTCCTCGCCTGTTTATCAGTGTAGGTGTGAGGTCCACCCTTTGAAGGTATTCTGAGGTCCACCCTTCGAAGGTATTCCGATGTGGAAACCAGTGGCTTAAGTATGATCATTTCTTACTAGCCAGAGCTGCTCATACATAACCTGTTCCTTGAAGAAGACAAAGGCGTGAGCTCACAGCAGGGTGGCATTTGCGTTTTTCTCTCCTTTTTTCACTTTGTGTATCCCCCAGATATGAAGCCAGTGACTCTGCCCCTGTCCTAGGAACTGCCTTCAGGTTACATGTTTATAAGCTCTTGTTACATTAAGCATGGGCTGAAATACAAGAAGAGCCACTATATGGTCTCTGTTCCTAGTATATTCAAATCTACAGTGCACCATTTTCCACACTGGACCGTGTCTTATTTATGGCCTACTTGTGTATATATGTAGTGGATATATATGTGTGTGTGTGTTTGCTCATCAGATAATCCAAACTACCTTAGCATGATGTCAGACATTACGTTCTCATCCAACAAATGAGTGGCCTGAAATCCTTCACTGAATACAGACCAGCTGGTCAGCCAGGTCCATGCTGATCTAAATCCAGGTAAGTTCTGCATGTGGGAAACATTGGCCAAGTGGGAGAACCAACATACACCAACCCCTTGCTGTCCCATGTTCTTGCTGGTTATTCCATAATGGATCTCTTGTTGCAGTGAGACAGCTGGAAGCAATGCCACCGTAGGTGGCCTTGTCCTCTTGCCACACACAGTCATCCAGGCAGAAACTTTAGGCCCACGTTCTGAGATTCAGAAGGGTTTTTTGCAGAATAAATTGCAACACAGGCCTTAGATAAAATATTCAAAATTATTTTATCATGCAGCACTACAGAAATCCCCTTAAGTATGTTTGTAAAGTACAGAGGAATGTACTTAGTGCTTATAAAGGTATTAAAATTGAACGGCTCTTGCTTCACTAGGCTGTACAGCATTCCCAAAAGTGGGAATGCTCAGGCCGGCTACAGATTTAAGATACCAGGGTCAAACTCAAAGGAAGTATTTATGGAAAGACCCTACCTTTCTCTAGTGTATCTTCACTGAAAGAACTTTTAGGCTTATATCTTCAACATGGGTTTCATTTGAATATCTTTGCTGGCCTGTTGAGGAAGAAAAATTTGTCAGAGGAGTGACAAATGCAGTTATATACATTTCAGACAAGAATGGCTGCAAAAGTTTGTATGCACAAAGGGAAGCATGATACAATCCACATTCACAAAAGGACGTGCCTTGAAATCCAGATACGTTGCAGCAACACTGAATGAAATCACTGGAACCAATTCCATGACAGAGACAGTGGTTGGTACTTTTCAAGACAAGCTGCTTTGAATCAAAATAATATTCACCAGGCTCATGATAGGGAAAAACAGTTTCCAACTAACAGTTATTTTACAAGCATGGCAGTTTTCCACTGATAAACAGAGGAAAACACATACTCTCCCTGTATTACCAAAAATCTTTGAAGGGTCTATCTTTAGACTCTTGAGAGCTCTCATTTGCAGAGAGGAAAAAAATTCACAGAGGGAAAAAAATAAATAGGAAAATAACTGCTTTGCAAGAAAGAGAGGAGCTGTACCATGCCCATCCCTCCCCATGCACACTCCCTGCAGCACCATGATGTGCTCTCCAGCATCAGGGCACCTCACACACCAGTTCACACACAACAGCAGGACTGCTTGCAAGGGGACCACAGCTCCACTGCCACTCCTCCATGCACTGGAAAGCCATGCAAGCACTTACAAGGTGCTGAAATAGCATGAGCAGACTTTGTGCTGGTATTACTGCCCTGCTGACAAGAGTAAGACCCTTTTTTAAAAAAAAACATGAATCCTCCTGCTAGTAGCTGAAATAAAACATTATGAGAACAGACAATTTGAGTCCCAGGACGGAGTGGAAGCCAATTGCTTTCTACCTAGAGGTGCCCCTGTGGAGATCCTGTCCTCAAAATA